CTGGAGACTTCTTAAGAGTCCACAGCCAGCCACTAAAGTGTACAGTGCTTGTGTTCCCAGGGACCATGACACACTGCCATTAAGATGTCAACTAGTTCTGACAGTTGTCACCAGCATGTACCTATTTTTTTATTTAGATTTCAGATTTAAACAAGTTTCATGCCAAACAGGACCTGGGCTGAACACACATGTACAAAACACATGGGCATAGGAGATATGAAGTAAAGGTGACCAAAGTGGCATCACTTCCTCCCACACACACCACTGAATCACCAGATGTGATCAAGCACCTTAAAATCCCCCAGTGCACTTTCCCATTAGCCACAAATCTCACCCTTGGTGCATATGAGCTTTGCAGTGTGCCAGGAAAGTCAAAAAATTCAAGCCAGGGGGCAGAAATTCCAAGGGAAAGGGCCCATGTCATGGATAGGACAGACTGGGGTGATGGGGACATGGGACAGATTTCAGGTTATTTAGATGAACTTAACTCTGCATTTCCATACTTTCCAACATTCGTTAAGATGACATTTGATGTAGGGGGAATCAAACTCCAAACACACACTACATCTGGGGAAGATGCCTGATGAATCTACCTCTGACAGAGAAGGACTAAGGACCTCACTCCCTGCCTACATTTGCTTACATACCCAAATGCCCTCAAGGTGTAAAAATCACTTCAAACTCAAATCCATTTGGGACCTCCTCAGACAGGGCCGGATTAATGCAGGGGCTTTAGGGACTGCAGCCTAGGGCCTCGGACTAAGGGGGGCCCCGCAGGCCGGATGCGGCTTGCTGCTTCTTTTCATCCGGCCCGCAGCAAGTCTCTGCACCATGGGCTGGACATCCGTTCCTGAACCTCCCGCAACCCTGGGGCTGGAGCCACGAGCACTGGCTCACCGATGTGCCCCGGCAGCCCCTAGGCAAGGGGCATCCAGGGAATCTCTGCGCGCTGCCCCTTCCCCCAGCGCCAGCTCCGCAGCTCCCATTGGCTGGGTATGACAGCCAATGGGAGCTGTGGAGGCAGCGCCTGCAGGCACGGGCAGGGTGCACCGCGCAGAGCAGCCTGGCCCCTCTGCCTAGTCGGCGGACATGCCAGCCACCTCGGGGAGCAGAGCAGCACGGAGCCAGGGCAGGCAGGGATCCTGCCTTAGCCCTGCTGCACCGCTGACCAGGAGCCGCCCAAGGTAAGCGCCTCCCGGCCGGAGCCTATACCCCACACATGCTCCTGCACCCCAGCCCCCTACTCCAGCCTGGAGCCCCTTCCTGCACCCAAACTCCCTCCCAGAGCCCAAACCTCCTGCTGCACCGCAACCCCATCCCATCCCTGGCCCCACACCCCAGCTGGACCTTCACCCCCTCCTGCACCCCAATCCCCTGCCCCAGCCCACTCCAAATCCCCTGCAGCCCCACAAAATCTAATAGCCCTGGGCCCACAGGAGAGTTAATCCGGCCCTGCCCTCAGATCCCCCATTTCACACTAGTGGGGGATAGCAAATCCATCCCAACCCCTTCTACACCTGTGTCCTGAGGGGCACCCCACACACACTTGGATGAGACCCTTTCACGACTCATATTTTGCACTGTCCCACATCGCACACTTTTTCAAACTGAGACTATTTCACAACCGGCTATGAAAGGAGTGACTCATTCTGGCTTCCCCCTGTAAGTGATTTATGACAGTTCACGGGGACTCTCACTCACTCGGTCTTTTCTCGGATGCTGTTTAAGGTTAACCCCTTTACGGGGCTGTATTACAAGGCTGGGGCAAGGATGCGCCTGCGGGGTTCAGGTAAGCGAAGGAGCGAGGTTTCGGGAGCAGGGTATTACCGAGCCGGGGGAGTTGCAGGCAGGATCCGGGTGAGATGTGATGGGTCACAGGCGCTGCAGCGGGAGCTGATAAAGGTGGTAACTTTCTCACCGTCTAGGAGCGGCGCTGCCCGTGTCGTGTAGTGCGAGAAGAGGATCGGGGGGGGCGAAGGGGGGCTGAGACCCCCCCTTCCTCCTCCTGCACGAATCCTGGGGGGAGGGGTTGGGTGCACCTCTGTTTCTGGGGAGGTGAAGTGGATGAACCCTCGATCCCCCCCACACTGACGGGGGCGGCCTTGGGGGTTCACCCGCCGCTTTCGGAGTGAAGGCGGGGGGGGGGCGCTGTGAGGTGCTCGTGTTCCGGGCAGGACGCCTGGGTCCCACCGCCACCTTCCCCCTCCGCCCTCGGGGCGGGGGGGAGGAGGGGGGGGCTGCTGTGTGAATCATCGCGGACCCGACGGAGGATTCCCAGGCCCGGCCGATGCCCCTACCAAAATGGCGGCGGCGGCGGCGGCGACCGTCCTACGGGGAGACGAAGGGGACAGAATGCAAAGCCGAAACGGCACCTGACTGACACTGCGCCTGCGCGTTAGAGTGAGGCACTGCGAGGGGGCGGGGCCGCATGGAGGGGGGAGGGGCTAGGCTGTGTGGCCGGGGAGTCCGGAGGGGCGGGGCTACGTGTGGGGGCTGGGTGGCACGGAGTGGGTAGGGCTGGGTGGCATAGGGGGGAGAGAGGCGGGGCTGAGCTGCATGGGGTGAGGTGTGGCTGGGTGACACGGAGTGGGTAGGGCTGGGTGGCATAGGCGGGAGAGCTGCATGGGGTGAGGTGTGGCTGGGTGGCATGGAGTGGGTAGGGCTGGGTGGCATAGGGGGGAGAGAGGCGGGGCTGAGCTGCAAGGGGTGAGGTGTGGCTGGGTGACATGGAGAAGAGACGGTATCACCAACCCCAAGTGTCCAGAAATCACACATCATCACGAGATTGGCATAAAAAGGATGAATTCTTTTTAAAAGGAATCCATGCGGGTCTTTTCCTAGCCTGTAGCTGCACTCGCATCACGTTGTTGAGTATTTCTCGCGGAGCAGGAGAGCTAGACGCTTTGCGGGTGTCTTTGGGGTTGTTTTTTTAACGAAAGCTGAGATAATCACAGATGCCAGTAGCTGGGGCATGAAGAAAAACACCCAGATTCCTGCCCTACTGCTCACAGAACACTTGGCCGGGGTCAGACAGCGGGAAAGCTGTGACCGCTGCCTAACCCACGGTTCATAACTATCTCATTGGTACCTTGTGCTTCACCTGTTGCCTCTCGCCTTGGTTTTAGGCTACGTCTACACTGCAGCTGGGAGGTGTGACTGCGGTTTGTGAAGACGTAGCGAGCTAGAATACCAGAGTTAGCTCCAGTGACAATAGCCGCATAGCCATGGTGGCGTGGGCTGCACAAGCTCTGTCGGTCTCCTGCGTATGCACTCCTGCTGCTAACTCAGCCGTGGGTAAACTACGGCCTGCGGGACCGTCCTGCCCGGTGCCCCCAAGCTCCCAGCCCGGGAGGCTCCCCAGCTGTTCCCTCTCCCCCGCAGCCTCACCTCACCGTGCCGTGGGGGCATGCTGGGCAGGAGAGCAGGGAGGGAGGCTCCCCCGCAGCCTCCGGGGAGCAGGCAGGAGCGCGGGCAGAGGACTCAGGAGGGGCACAGGACGGCCGCGCACCTGGCCGGAGAGAAGCGGCGCTTTGAAGGGGAAACCGTCGCTTCTCTCCGGCTGCTCGGCTGCCCCTGCACCTTCTGAGTCCTCCACCCGCGTTTGCAGGGCCGCATTCAGAAGGGGGCTTTGGGTGGGGGGTTGATAGGGGGTGGGGTCCCAGAGGGCCAGTTAGGGGCAGGGCGTCCTGGGAGAGGGCGGTCAGGGGACAAGGCTGGGGGCAGGGGTGTGGATAGGGGTCGGGGCAGTCCAGGGACAGGGAACAGGGGAGGTTGGATAGTGTGTGGGGGCCTGGCTGGGGGCAGGGGTGTGGATAGGGGTCGGGGCAGTCCAGGGACAGGGAGCGGAGGGGTTGGATAGGGTGTAGAGGACTGGGGGGCCTGTCAGGGGATGGGGGTGTGGATGGGGGTCAGGGCAGTCGGGACAGGGAGCAGGAGGGGTTGGATAGGGTGTGGGAGTCTGGGGGCCTGGCTGGGGGTAGGGGTGTGGATAGGGGGCGGGGCAGTCCAGAGACAGGGAGCGGAGGGGGGTTGGATAGGGTGTGGAGGCCTGGGGGCTGGCTGGGGGTAGGGGTGTGGATAGGGGTCGGGGCTCTGATCAGTTGGGAAGAGCAAACAGGACAAATGCCCGTTTTTGTCAAAAAACAGGACGTATGGTCACCCTACTCACTGCCTCATTCAGTATCCTTCAATGAGAAAATATCCTCACGTTTGGGCCCACTGCTACTTCTGCTCTTATTTAAGTTTAAACCTAAGAGCATCCACTCAGGAGTTTGCACAGGTTAACTAAATTGGTTTAAATTCGTCCCTCTGGTTATACTGATGCAACGTGCGCCTATAGAAAAGCCCTTTCTCTCTCTCTCTCCCCTGTCTCCCCTCCATTCTTCTCTCTGTGTTTCCTTCCCGGCAATAATTCCCAGCCTCTTCCCACACTGCTATCTGCTAAAATGATCAGTGATGACATAAAGAAGAACAGGAGTACTTGTGGCACCTTAGAGACTAACAAATTTATTAGAGCATAAGCTTTCGTGGACTACAGCCCACTTCTTCGGATGACATAGTTAATGTTGACACTTCGGTGTCAATATTGGGCTTTAGAGCTGACAGGCCAATGGGATTAAATGGGCTATGGGGAATTCTCGAGTCATTATCGAGTCATAGTTTGAGGCTCTCTGCTGACCCTGAGGCAGATAACACTGAACTGATTTACCCTTGGGTCACCTTTGGAAGGTTTTCTTCACAACCATGAGGTCTAGACATTTTACTTTTTTGTTAATGAAAGATGAGGTTCTGGTCTATCTGAATGCATCCTGCAAGGCACATAAATTCATCAGAGAGGCCAGATGTTTGACACTTCTATCCTGAAGTACCCTTGGATTAAGTATACTATTAACTGTCAGATTTATTCTACTGCTAAAAGTTGTGGGTGTTTGTTTTGATCAGCAAAGCACCGAATGCCAAATGTCACTAACCCTTCCAGTGTCCCATATCTGTAATTTCAGAACCTTTGGAGGTGAGGAGATCTGAGGCTGGAATCTCTACAGCTCTCTGGACTCTACCGCCTCCAGTTCAGACTCCGCGACAGTGAAAGGGGGAGCCCGGCCCATGCACCAGTGTCCATAGCGCAGCCTTTCGGAGAGAGGACACGGAGATCGTTCTGAGGGGAAAATGCAAATGGAAGAGCGTCTTAGCGGCAATGAAAACGCAGAGGGAGGAGGAGAGAATTCTGTTCAGCAGCAACAGCAGCTGACGGAGCCTCTTAATTGTAATGGACACCTGGACAGAGGAGACGAAGCAGGTAACTTAGGGCTTGTCTGCACAGAGAAATTTACCGGTATAATTATACCATTATAGTTATACCAGTATAACTCCCTGTGTGGACACTCCTATTCTAGAATAAATGTATCTCCATGGGGCGCTATCCTGGTATAACCGTTGTGGTATAATATTACCGGCATGACCTATACCAGTAAATTCTCCCGTGTAGACAAGCACCCTGAACCCTCACTCTCTAGGAAATGGTTAGTGGGAGAGACAGAGACTAAGGGCTTGGCCACATGGGAAAGTTATCCCCGTATATGCTAAGATGTGAATGTAAACGGAGATACCTACCCCGGTACAACCGCCATGTGGACTCTCTTATTCTGGTCTGTATGTATGCATCTCTTTAGTCCAGTATCAGAGGGGTAGCCGTGTTAGTCTGAATCTGTAAAAAGCAACAGAGGGTCCTGTGGCACCGTTAAGACTAAGTCTTAAAGGTGCCACAGGACCCTCTGTAACTCTCTAGTCCAGTGGTTCTCAACCAGTGCCGGCTTTAGCAAGAGCGGGGCCC